CAGTTGGACACACCTGGCCGGTGCCTAAGGTAGGAAGCCACCTCTGTTGCCAGGACTTTCTTTGGGGAGGGAGACTTGGTTTGACTGTGTTTTAGAAAATGCATTCATTTCTCTGAGACCTGAAGACTTCTGCTCACTTGGCTTCCTGCCTCCTCCCTTGCGACCACCTATTCAATTCTGATCTTATACATGGCTGTAGTCGGTAACAAGGGGGCCACAGTCTTGTCACTTCCCCCTTTCACGCCTCTCCCTTTTTTGGGGGAAGAGGTTTACATTTTCCCAATCTAATGTTTATTGCTTTGCCCTCAAATGTTGTCTTCTGTAAAAATGCAGTATCGGCAGGCAGAGAACATACTAAAATGTGTGGATCGGAATGAACTTACAGAACCTCAGGCCTGCAAGCAAGTCAGGGGTTAAATACTCTGCCTCCCTCAAGCTGCAGAGGAGAAAACAGAAATCTGTAAAGGTAAAATGACCCACTCAAGGTCACACAGCTTAGTATTGATAAATCAGGATAGAGTGAGGACTGGATACCATGTATCCTTATTTCCAGTCCGGTAACTTTCCAAAGTCTTTAGACTGTTTCCTGGAGATCTGGGGAGTTTTGGGGGAGCCACCTGAGCAGCTGTCTGGGTAGAAATAGCAGCAGCCCCTCCTTCCCAGCAAATGAATTTTTGTCGGTTTTACATATTGGTCTTCTGGTATGATTTTGCTTCAGTAAAGTGTTTCACAATTTAGGAAGATATCTGAGCACTGCTGGTGGTTCTGTGGATGTGTAAGGGGTGATAACAGGGAACAAGATGGGGACTTCTCTCAAATGATGATGCTATGAAATTGACCTCTAAAGAATTCCAAAATAGAGGAGAATTAAAGGACCTCCTGTCGCCAAACCAACAGAGAAGCAGAAGATATCCCAGTAACTATTCTCCCATCCCTGATGAGTGACTTTAATCTGAATTACTAAATTACATTTCTTCCCTTTGAATCTTTCAACCAGGTTGAACCATGATTGTCTTGATGAATGATCTATGGAATGATACTGAGTGGGATTATGTTGAATTTGGAAATTTCAGCGGCACACCACCCACAGAAACATATAGTCCCTGTAGGATAGACACTGAGACACTCAACAAGTATGCAGTGGTGGTCATCTATGCCCTGGTCTTCATGCTGAATCTGCTGGGAAACTCCCTAGTGATAGTGGTTGTCTTATATAGTCGGATCAGCCAGTCTGTCACTGACGTCTACCTGCTGAACCTGGCCATAGCCGACCTGCTCTTCGCCCTGACCTTGCCTCTCTGGGCTGCCTCCAAGGCAAAGGGCTGGATCTTTGGCACACCCCTGTGCAAGGTGGTCTCGCTCCTGAAGGAAGTCAACTTCTACAGTGGTATTTTACTACTGGCCTGCATCAGCGTGGACCGCTACCTGGCCATTGTCCATGCCACACGCACGCTGACCCAGAAGCGGCACTGGGTCAAGTTCATATGCTTAGGCATCTGGGCCCTGTCCCTGATCCTGTCCCTACCCATCTTCGTCTTCCGCAGGGCCATCAATCCCCCCTACTCCAGCCCAGTCTGCTACGAGGACATGGGTGCCAATACGACAAAACTGCGGATAGTGATGCGGGCCCTGCCCCAGACCTTTGGCTTCCTCCTGCCGCTCGTGGTCATGCTGTTCTGCTATGGGCTCACCCTGCGCACCCTGTTTGAGGCCCACATGGGGCAGAAGCACCGGGCCATGCGGGTCATCTTCGCTGTCGTGCTTGTCTTCCTGCTCTGTTGGCTGCCCTACAACCTGGTCCTGGTCGCAGACACCCTCATGAGGCTCCGGGTGATCAAGGAGACTTGTGAGCGCCGCAATGACATTGGCCGGGCCCTGGATGCCACCGAGATTCTGGGCTTCCTCCACAGCTGCCTCAATCCCTTCATCTACGCCTTCATTGGCCAGAAGTTTCGCCATGGACTCCTCAAGATCATGGCCTTCCATGGGCTCATCAGCAAGGAGTACTTGTCCAAGGACGGCAGGCCTTCCTTTGTTGGCTCTTCTTCAGCAAACACTTCTACTACCTTCTAAGCGCCCCCGGCCCTGTTGCAGCCCCTCGGGGCTCCTCCCTCACCATCAGCATCGCGTTCCGAGCCTCATGTCCACTGGCTGTTCACAGTCTCTGTGTCGAGGCAGCCCCCGGGTGTGGTTACAGGAAGTTACTGGGGCCACGTCCTTTTCAGGCCCTTTGTACAGTTTAGAAAGCCTGCCCTGGTTCCCCAGCCCTGACTATACTTACTCTGTCAGCTGCTAGAGCTCAGTCCATCCTACCACTGAGCCCACAGCACTCGGTTCTCTGAGGCAGTTAAAGACATTTAAAAGGCATTCCTTCAAGTGACTACAGAAAGTTCCTACCATGGGGAGGCATCAGTGGTGAACGGCATTAGCTGCTGCCCCGACTGTCCCTTTCTTGCTTGCCAGCAAAGCCCACCTCCCTTGAGAGAGGCTGAGAAGGACAGATACTCACTTTCGAAGACTCCCTTGGCTAGGAGTGGCCCTGCCCTTCACTTCGGACTAATTAGATTTCAGGGCAATGGTGTGCTGGTAAACCACTCTCCTGGGGGAAAGAAGTCCTGATTTGTAGCATTTACCGAGTTGCCTGGTGTAAACGCTCCCGCCATGGCGATTTCAAGGGTTTTCAAGTAATGTAATGAGCCGCTTTCACAAGCAGGTACAAACTGGCCCTAGTGCACCATTGCTTAAGAGGAAGTCTGCTGGGTCCAGGGACTCCTGGGAAGTAGTCCTGATTGAAAAAAGAGAGAAAGACACACACACACCCTTGGTTCTCACCTTTGAATATGGTTGTAGGATATGATGTGACAAAGAGGCAAAAAGTGTGCTCAACACACTTAGGCAGATGGAGCAGATGAGAATAAAGAGCCCAGAAAGAAGCCTAAGCGTAAATGGTCAATGATTTTCAACAAGGGGCACCAAGACTATCCAATGGGGAAAGGATAGTCGTTCAACAAATGGTGCGGGCAAACCAGATATCCACACGCACAGGAATGAACTTGGTCCCTTTCCTTACACTATATGCAAAAGTTGACTCAAAATGGGTCAAAGACCTACACAGGAGAGCTTCAACCATAAAACGCTTAGTAGACACGTAGAGGATATGTCTTATAACATTGGATTTGGCAATGATTCCTTTGATATGACACCGAGAGCACAGGTAAGAAAAGAATAAATAGATAATTGGATTTCAGCAACATTAAAAACTTGTGTGCATCAAAGGACACTATCAACAGAGTGGAAAGGGAAATCACAGAATAGGAGAAAATATTTTTAAATCAAATTTTATACAGTTTACTCTCCACAATATACAAAGAATTCCTACCATTCAACAACAAGAACAACAACAACAAAGACAGATTAATAACGTGTCGGCAATGATACGGAAATACTGGTGGGACCCCTGTGCATCATTGGTGGAAATGGAAATGGTGCAGCCACTGTGGAAAACAGTGCCTTGAAAGATGAAACAGAATTCCTATCTGATCCAGCGCCTCCATGTCTAAGTGTACACCCAAAAGAACTGAGAGCAGAGACTCAAACAGATGTTCGTACACTAATGTTCCTAGCGGCATTATTCACAGTTGCCAAAAGACAACAACCACCCAATGTCCATCAATGGATGATGGACAAACAAAATGTGGGGTATACATGCAGTGGAATATCATTCGGTCTTAAAAATGAATGAGCTTCTGGTACAAGCTACAAACATGGGTGAGCCCTGAGAACATGATACGAAGTGAAAGAAGCCAGGCAAAAAGAGTGTATGATTCCAGTTATTGGAAACACCTGCAATAGTCAAGTTCATAGAGACAAGAACAAACAGTTGTTACTGGGGGCTGGGCAGAGGGGAAAATAGGAGGTAATTGTTTAATGGGTACACAATTCAGTTGGGGGTGATGAAGAGTTTCTGGAGATAGATAGTGGTGACAGTGGTACAACAGTGTGACTGAGCTTAATGTCACCAAACTCTACGTTTAAACTGGTAAAAATGGTCAGTTTTATGTTGTGTGTATCTTACTACAATGGAAAAAAAAAAAAAAACAACTAGTTCCCAAAAGACAAATTTTAGCAACTGAACCAATTGTGGAACCATCTACCTATAACTTCTTGTTCGGGGAGATAATTAAATGTCTTTTTTTTTCCTTTGTATAAGCCACTTTGAGTTGAGTATTTCATTACTTGCAACAAAAAGCATCTGAACTGCTACAGAGAAGTCAGGCAAGGGTGAACAGAGGTCCCGAACGTAGATTTATTTACAATAATTAAATCCCTTTGCTATCTATTGGGTGCACAGATAGAGAGAAGGATTGAAATCAAGAGAGAAGCCAGCCTTTCTTCCTCCTTCATCCCCAGCCCAAGCCTGTTGCTGCTGCACATGTACTATAGAAGGAGATATGTCCCGGGATCATCTAGTGCTTCTTATGTCTTTGGGTGAAACCAGAGTCAAGAGCGTCAAGGGTCAGTGTGTTTTACCAAATCAGCTGGACTGGGGAGCAGGAAGCCAGACAGCTCTGCTGAGCTCAACCAGTTGCCCCTACTTTGAGTCTTCACTCTCTTCTCTCTCCCACTCAAAACACACACACACACACACACACACACGCCCATCATGCAGGACTGACAAAAGCACACCTTGCAGAATAGGGAAATGATTTCCACACAAAACCAAGGATTTGACTCATTGCTTGGGCAGTCTTTCCTGAGGGCCTGCCATCCCAGGGCTCTGGGACATGACAGAGCCTTACCCAGGCTGAGCTCCTGTTCACAGGCCTCATCCCTGCGGGGGCTTTGGCAGGAGGGGGTTGGGCTCAGAGCAGCCTACTAAGGAAGTAAGACTGCAAGGGGAGTCCAAGGGCACAGTCCCCAAGCTTTACCAGGTTCCGATCCCCTTCCTGTTAACAACTCTCCGATCACTAAATCAAAGAGACAGCTGCTGTGGTTCTGACCAAGAGGCCTCTCCAGGGAGGCAGGAGCAAACCTCTGAGCTGGGGTGCTCAAGGGGCAGGTAACTACCTCTCCTGACTCATGAAAGCACAAACAGGATTAATCCGGCCCCGCTAATCCCTTGTTCCAAGCCCATTCTGTGCCAGGCACTGTGCTAAGCTCAGGTTCAAGCTTGACTTAGCTGCTCTGGCCAAGCCTTCAGAGCAGCTTCTGATTCAGCAGGGGAACGTGTATTTACTGGAGGGAACACCCGAGTTGCCAGAGGGACCGGGAGTGTTCTGACCTGGCAGGGCGGATGGGCCAGATGGCTCCCTGAGATCATTGTCAGCGGGAGGAGGCCAAACCAAGTTTCACTCTGGTTCTGGGGCTCTCTCTTTCATTCTCTCTCTCTCCCTCCCTCTCTACCTCTCTCACATAAAGACAGTCTTGGCACAAATAACCTACCAACCAAGCCATCACTGGGAGGAGGCAAATCCAGGGCCTGTCTTTGAGTTGTTGATTTCTTTCTTCCCTCCGATGTTTCCAAGCCTGAGTCCCACTGTCAGGGCCCAGCTCCTTTCTGCCCAAAACTGCCTGCTCAGTCTGAGCCGGCCCCTCTTGCTTCTGAGATACACTGCCCTACTTACATGAACACCCTCCGTCTTGTTTCTCTGTCTCCCCAGTTTATGACGTCTTCCTCAACGCAGTCCCTCCTCATTGCAGGAATGGGCTCCCTTTGGTCACGAAATCGGAGCAGCCTCCAGTGTCTCTTTGGGTGATATGAAGACGTACACCCAGGTGGCAAGTCACATTGAAATTCATCCCACATTGACCCACGTGGAAAACGGCCACCCTGCCATAGCAGAGCCAGAGGACACCTAGAGCTCCCCTCCACCCCCCGCCAACCCTTGCAATACGCAAATGAGGAAACTGAGGCCCAAGCAAAGCAACTTGATCAAGATCTCGTGGCTGGGTAATAGTAGAGCTGGAATAAAAATGTCTAGTGCGGTTCATTTTTTCAGATATTTCGCTTTTCTAGTGGTGACACTTCAGGCACCTTCCAAATAGATGGGAAAATACATATAGGAACTTCCCAGAGCATTCCACTCCTATAGGTAGGGCTGGTCCACTTCTTCAGTGCCTACACTCATCTGATAGAGTCAAGGGCCAACTGAGGCTTGGGGCCCAGGTTTGGGAGCAGGCTCAGATGGGGTTACCCTATTCTGAGCTGGTACATAAGACAGTTAAAGTCGGACGGGGCTCCTGGGTGGCTCAGTCAGTGGGGCGTCTGACTCTTGATTTCAGCTCAGGTCATGATCTCAGGGACGTGGGATCGAGCCTTACGAGGGGGTCCGC